CTCATCAAACTGTTCTCTCTTTCTCTCTATCAATTATACCTCAACAAAAATTAATTTTACTGGTACTGCCTATTTGATCACCCACCTTATTTACTATATGTGGTAGCAAAAGACGACTTGCTTAGGAATTGGTTGCCAGTTCTAATTTCCATAAGGGTGTCTCCTGGATTTTCTAAGGTTCTTATAGTTTGAGGTTTTACGTTTAGGTCTTTGATCCATTTAGAGTTTATTTTTGTGTATGGTGTTAGGTAGCGATCTTGTTTTAATCTTCTGCATGTGGTCAGTCAGTTTTCTTGCACCATTTACTGAATAGGTTCTCCTCTCCCCAGTGGTTGGTGGTAGAGTCTTTGGTGAAGATGAGTTGGTTGAGAAATTGAGGTTTTGCTTCTGGGATCTCTATCCTGTTCCATTTGTCTATATGCCTAATACCAGTAACAGGCTGTTTTAATTATTGTAGCTTTATATACAAGTTTAAAGTCTGGGAGTGTGATACCTCCCACTTTGTTTTTGTTTTTCTGAAGATAGTTTTGGTTATTCATAGTTATGTATGCTTCCATATGAGTTCCTGTATTGTCGTTTCCAAGTCTGAGAAGAATGCTGCTGGTAATTTAATCGCTATTGGGTTAAATCTGTAGATTGCTCTGAGTAGAATGGACATCTTAACAATGTTGATTCTTCCAATCCATGAGCATGGAGTATTTTTCCGTTTGTTTGTGTCATCTCTGATTTCTTTTAGCAGTGCTTTGTAGTTTTTGTTATAAAGGTCTTTCTTTCACTTCTCTGGTTAGGAAGATGCCAAGGTATTTCATTTTTTTTTGTGTGGCTATTGTAAATGGGATTGTGCTTTTTATTTGGGTTTCTGTTTGTTTATTGTTGGTGTATAGGAATGCGACTGTCTTTTGCACATTTATTTTGTACCCTGAGACTTTACCAAAGTCCTTTATCAATGCAAGGAGATTTCTGACAGATTCTCTTGGATTCTCGAGGTATAGAATCTTGTCATCTGTAAAGAGGAGTAACTAAACTGTGGAAAACAGTGTGACAATTCCTTAAAAGATCTAAAAATCTACCTTCCATACAACCTCGCTATCCCCCACTGGGAATGTACCCTAAGGAACTCAAATCATTCTGTGAAAAAGATACCTGCACATGCATGTTTATTGCCGCATTAGTGACAATAGCAAAAGCACGGAACCAACCATGCTGCTCATCAAAAGTACACTGGCTAAAAAAAATTGTGATACATATACACAATGGAATATGACACAGCCATAACGAAAGACAAAATTATGACTTCGCAGCAACTTGGATGGACTTAGAGTCTATCATACTCAGTGATCTATCACAGAAACAAAGAACAGAGTACCACACATTCTGACTTATAGGGGACCTTGAACAATTATTATAATACTATAAGAAAGGGATTGGCAGTAGTGGGAAACTGCTAGGGGAAGGGGGGCACTCTTCATCAACAAGGGTGCATGCATTTGTATACCTAACCCTGAATTGTACTCCATATCTTTAAAATTAAAAAAAAAAGTTAAATGATGAAGAAACCCCACTATCAACTTATAAATCAATTAAGCAGCACAGACTTTCTTGTCCTGTGACTCTTAGGAGTTTTCTCCACGGCTCAGAGGCAGGACAGAGACATACTTCTCCATGATCCCCAGCTGCTTCTCCTGCAGTTATCTGTTCCTTGGCTGGCCCACCCTGACCTGCCTATTCTCTTTCTAGAAGCAGCCTGCTCTTTGTTTCACAGAATCAGAGGAGGGGTAGAGGGTGGTGTTCACCTCTGTCTCGCTTGACTCAGAATGAAAATGGAACTGGGCCTGATCTTTTTCACTGGGAGACCAGGAAGCTCACTGAGCTATCATTGCCATTTGATTTGCTTGACTTTCTCTTAGTTTCTGGAACATATCAAACGTTATTTTTTAACCTTGGAGCCCTTATACTTGCTGTTCTTGCCAAAAAAATTTATATCCTCCTTCCCTCAGGTCTTTGCATGGCTGGTTTCCATTTTCCCTTCAGATCTTTGTAGAACTCTCACATTTTCAGGAAGGCTTTCCCTTTGTAGCTTTCCCCATGTTTCTTTGCTTAACTTTTACTGCTAACTGTTTCATGATACTGATCACCATTTGTAATTTTAATTTTAATTTTAGTGATTATGTGTTTAAAAATTTTTCTCTCTTACTAAAGGATAAAGTTTCATGAGGGCAAGTATTCTGTTTTGTTATTTGGTTGTTTAGTTTTTCCTCTCCTATGTCTCCCATGCCCCACAGTATCTCACAAATACCTGTTGAATGAAGGAACTGCTGCTCTGAAGGTAAGGTACACCTGAGATCTGGATCACATTCTTCTTGTCCTTTTGGGGGCCTTTATCTCTTAATTATTCGAAAGTACATGGTATCTTTGCTCTCTCTTGGACTACAGGCTTCTTCTCCTTTACCCCTCAAATAATCTTGAACCTATTATCTTAAAACGTAGATGGACTTTTGTATGACTTGGTTTTCTCTTGTTGTCTAACTTCATCCCTTCACTACTAAGCTCCACATATGCTGTATTTACCAACTACTTCCTCTGTCTAACCATCCATGTTAAGCTTCTGCAGCCTGGCTACTACCTGCTCCACTCTACGGGTCACTGTTCAGAAGCTTCAAGACTTATTTCATGCTCTGTTCTTGCTCTTATCTTCTTCCATATCCTTGTATCATTTGAAGAGGATTATTGCCCATTCTTTGAAAGTCTCTCTTTTGACTTCTGTCTCTGCTTCTAGTTCTCTTCCCCTTTGAATCATTCCTTTTTGGTTTCTTTTGTGGATTTAAACATTCTATTCTTACACATAAATATCCCCTGGAGGATCTCTGTAGGGTTTGTTTGTTTGCTTGCCTTTTGCTTCTCTCTTTACTCAAGTTATATTTATTATTCAGGGTCCAGTTCAAAATTGTCTTCCTCCATGAAGCAGCCCCTAACTAGATAGTCAATCCTCTCCGTTATCTCTCCATTTTCTTTACACCTCTGACATTTAGCATGATCAGTACCTCCAATTTAGCACCCACTATAGCAGACACATTTTCTGAACCAGAAATCAAGACCCCTTATCTGACAAATACTGTTATTTAATTTATGTGTTTAATTATATAGAAACCTTGACAATGATATAAAATTAAATTGTATTCAGTGAATTGAAATTGCTGAAAATTATTAAATTATATAAAAGTAGGAAAGTTTTGGATACCCATGTTGTCAATTCAGTCAGAGTTATTGTCCAAGAGTGTTATTTTTTATTTCCCATATTAGGTACTTTGTCCCTGACTATAAGCTGATGTCTTGACTGTGGAACACAGAAGACTAAGAGGAAGTACTCCATAAGTATTAATTGAATGGACAATCCATTAAATGGATTGAATATTGTTTCATTAACTAGCCATACAAAATGGTGACATACAAATTATTTAAAAGATTTCTAGGCCAAAACCAATTTCAAAGTGTAAGATGATTTATTCTAGATCAACATATAATTTTCAATTCTTTAAGAAGTATATAATGGTTAAGATTGTGGGCTTAGTTTAGGACTTGGGATTAAAATTCAGCTGTGCCATTTATTAGATATGTGACCTTGGATTAGTTATTTAACCTCTCTGTGGATTCATTACCTCATCTATAAAATAGGGTAATACTTGTACCTAAGCACTCAATCAGTGTTATTTATTATTATTAATCTCCATGCTAGAGCTGAAAATTTGCCTTAGCAATTATGTATTTTCTGGCTAGGTATCTTCAGATTTTGGAGTGAAAATCACATATGTCCTGTTTCAATCTTCTGCATGTGATCAGCCAGTTTTCCCAGCACCATTTACTAAATAGGTTCTCCTCTCCCCAATGGTTGTTGCTGGACGCTTTGACAAAGATGAGTTGGTTGAGAAATTGAGGTTTTGCTTCCAGAATCTGTACCTGTTCCATTGGTCTATATGCCTGTTCTTGTACCAGAAACAGGCTGTTTTGATTACTGTAGTCTTAGAGTAAAGTTTGAAGTCTGGAAGTGTAATAACTCCTGCTTTGTTTCTTTTACTAAGGATTGTTTTGGTTTTTGTGGTCGTTTATATTTCCATATGAATTTCTGTATTGTCATTTCCAGATCTGCATCAAGAGAGCAGTGAGACAGCCCACAGAATGGGACAAAATATTTGCCAACTGTATATCTGACAAAGGCCTAACATCTAGGATCTACAAGGAACTCAACCGCGCTGAAAGGAAAAAAACAAACAGCTCCATTAAAAAGGAAACTGTCAGGGAGGAGGCGGGGTGGGATTGGCAGTTGAGGGAAACTGCTAGGGGAGGGAAGGGCATACCTCATCAACGAGGATACCTGCATAATCAGTGGTTGTATACCTAACTCTGAATTGTACTCCACATCTTTATAATTTAAAAAATAAATAATAATTAAAAATAAATAAGTGAATAAAAAATATTTTTTTGTTTGAGTTGGAATCTCACTGTGTCGCCCAGACTGGAGTGCGGTGGCCTCTCCCGGTCACTGCAGCCTCGACCTGCTGGGCTCCGGCGATCCTTCCTCCTCAGCCTTCCAAGTAGCTGGAACTACAGGCGCGCGCTACCATGCCCGGCTATTTTTTTTTTTTTTTTATTGTAGAGATGAGGTCTTGCCAAGTTACCCAGGCAGGTCTCGAACCTGCGAGCTCAGGCAATTCACTCATCTCGGCCTCCCAAAGCGCTGGAATTACAGGCTGAGCCACTGAGCCCGGCCATGAATAAAAATTTTTTAAAAAAGTGAGCCTCCCTCATGGAGGTTTCGTGCGGTCTGGGTGTTCCCAGTGGGTCGGGCTGCGCGATGATCCCAGGGAAGGCGAAGTGGCTGCTCTGCCCCCGCTGTGCTAAGGTCCCCCGGCAGGGTCCCGGCCCCCACGCACCCCTTTGCGCTTGTCACTGAGACCCTTGGGCTTGGCAGATGCGACTGCCCGCGCCAGGGTCAGCAGCAGATCATGATGAATAAAGCAGACATAATTCATCTCTAGAAAGACTACTTATACCCTGACATTTGAAATGCTTTTTATTTAGAATAGTAGTAAAAATGGAAAAAGAAAAAGATGATGAAAAACGAAACCAAGAGAACTCCTTGGACTTTTCTGAACACTTTAACCAACTTGAATTATTGGAAACACACAGACATCTTATTCCCACTGGTTCTCAGAGTCTCTGGGTAGGCAATTCTGATGAAGATGAGGAACAAGATGAAAAAAATGAAGAGTGGTATCAATTCCAAGAAAATAAAATGGAAAAAGACCCAAGCAAGTTGCTTCTGTGGGCTGCTGAAAAGAATCGGCTTATTACAGTGCTGAGACTCCTTTCGGAAAAGGCCACTCATGTGAACACCAGGGATGAGGAAGCCTATACCCCTCTTCACCGAGCAGCCTACAGTGGACACTTGGACACTGTCCATGAGCTGGCTGCACAAGGGGCAGATGTCCATGCAGTGACCTTGGATGGCTGGACATTGCTTGTGAGTGGAATCATGCCAGAGTGGCTTCTTTCTTACTTCAGCACGATTTGGGTATCAATGCCCCAACGAAGGGCCTCCTGAACCCCCTGCACCTTGCTGCCAGGAGCAGGGACAGAAAGGACACCCTAGAACTCCTCCTCCTGATGAACCGTTACGTCCAACCAGGTCTGAAAAACAGCTTGCAAGAAACTGCGTCAGACATCACCAGGAGGACAAGTATCTACCACTACTTTGAAACTGCGGAAGGCTGCACAAATTCTTCTCCTCAGTCTTGACAGTGCTGGTAGTTTTCTTAGGGTTCTAAGTACCAGTGCCTCCTTTGTGTGAGGTGTGAAATACTCCCATTACACGAAGTTGACGTCAAACGTCTTCTCACTACAGAAATCCAGGGATGCTCATTATAATGTTCTTCTGAACTGCATGACCTTGATGGTAACATATATTTGAAAGTTGTTTGGATAGATCTTTAGTGATTTTTGTGGTGTTTGTGGTTGTTATCAGAAATAATTTTAACTTGCCTGCGCTTAAAAACTTGACATGGGTTGTATAGAAACTGATATTTTTTGGTGCTGATCCAAGAGAAATGTATTTTTAAGTACCCCATATCCTAGATCTTTGTTGAATAGTTAGTATGCTGACATATATTTTTATCAGGTAACTCAGAATTTAATTTTAAAGTCTTAAGTATTCTGGTGCAGCTCAGCTCTCTTTGTAGCACCATAGCCAGTTGCTTCCATTTTCAACCAGAGGAACTAATACTAGAGACTTGAATCTTTATAAGTTAAAGAAAAAATGCCAAAACCCCAGATCTTTGTCTTTTAAAACAGTGTCAGGAAAGCCGTTAGCTATGTGTTCCGTCCATGAAAGTGGCACACAGCCTCCCTCGCCGGAATTCCCACGGTCGTGTGACTGGTCCTACCTCACCCGGCCAAACTATCAGATCCTTCTTCTAGTGGCAAGTTGGGATGAACTTTCAGACGTGCATACGGCTGCACCTCAGTCCCGGAAGGCATAGCATATCTGGTGTCAGAACCAGTTGTGTCTATCTCGGCCTGCCGATCTGGGCCCTGCTCACAGCCTTCTGCATTTGCAGGAAATATGGTTTCCCCAAGGTCCTCGTTTTATACAGAACACACAGAAAGGCAAAGTGATGAGGGAAAAGAACTTCTAGGACTGGGGGATGGTTATTCTGTTGGGGTTAAACCCACAACGTAACTCAGGCTTAAAAAAAAAAAGCTGTATAGTGGCCATTGCCTTGCTAAGCTACAGTGTGGCCATGTGCTCTTTGAGCTATGGCCAGGCCATGTTTCCTAACTTTGGCTGCCTCCTCTACCTTTGGGGAGGTAAATTTCCTCTTTCTCGCACTCTAATTTACTTTCTAAATAAACTGTATTTTCTTATCTAAGAAAAAAAGGCTGGATAGTGACAGAAAGCATAAATATAATGTTTAAGGAAAATAAAGTACATGTTTTGAACAACACACACACAAAAAAAAGTGGGCAAAAGACATGAATAGACACTTCTCAAAAGAAGATATACGGGCAACCAAGAGACAAATGAAAAAGTGCTCAGCCTCACTCATCATCAGAGAAATGCAAATCAAAACCACATTGAGATACCAACTAACCCCAGTAAGCAGGGCCATCATTAGAAAAACAAACAGATGCTGGCGAGGATGCGGAGAAAAAGGAACACTTCTACACCACTGGTGGGAATGTAAACTTGTGCAACCTCTTTGGAAGATAGTGTGGCGATTTCTGAAAGAACTAGAAATTGACCTTCCATATGACCCAGCAATTCCCATATTGGGAATATACCAGAGGAACTCAAAACATTCTTAAAAAAAAATACCTGCACACGTATGTTTGTTGCAGCTCTATTCACAATAGCAAAATGATGGAACCAACCATGTTGCCCATCGAAGCTGGACTGGATAAAAAAATGAGGTACACATACACAATGGAATATTATGCAGTCATAAAGAAGGACAAGTATATGGACTTTGCAGCAACTTGGATGGATTTAGAGTCTATCATATTCGGTGATCTATCACAGAAACAAAGAACAGAGTACCATTTATTCTCACTCATAAGTGGACCTTGAACAATTATAATACTATAAGAAAGTGATTGGTAGTAGTGGGAAACTGTCAGGGGATAGGGAGTGGGATTGGCAGTTGAAGGAAACTGCTAGGGGAAGGAGGGGCATACCTCATCAACAAGGGTACCTGCATAATCAACGTTTGTATACCTAAGCCTGAATTGTACTGCACATCTTTAAAATAAAAAAATAAAAATAAATATGTCAAGTATGAAAGTCATGTCACCTTATTTCATGGTCAGTACAAATTTAAAGTTTTAAATTTGTAAAAACAATTTGTAAAATGGTTGAAGCAACTCACCAAACTGTAGAAACAAACTGAGGGCAAACTCTCCTTTTTACCCAAAAGTTTCTAAATATTTTAGCTTTCTTTTTTTCAGGAAACATCTCATGGATGCTAAAGTCAAAGACTTTAAAAAGTGACTTGAGTAGGGGTATATGATGTAGCTAACTTACTCCTACAATGATAGCAATTCAAATTAACGGCCTATGAATGAAAGGGGAGATGTTATGGCTTTACCCTCTTACTAGAAATTGGTCATTGTGTTTATATTAGTGATTTGATGTTCCTTGGTAATGGCATAACTTAGATAAATATCTTATGTTAATTCAGTCAACTGTAGTCAAACAGGTGAAGTTAAGAAGACATTGTCTCTCTTTCTCCTCTCTCTCTGTTTCTCTCTCTGTGTCTCTATCTGTCTCTCTGCTCTGTGTGTGTGTGTGTGTGTGTGTGTGTGTGTGTGTCTTTCTCCCCTCCCTCTCAGTGAAATGAAACACCTAATCTTCAAATTTTCACCTACCAATGTATCATCATTTTCAAGTGAGTATATATTTTATTTTCTCTCAAAAAGTAACATATTACAAACTTTTCATGACAATTAACAACAATTGGATAATAGTTTCCACTATTTATATGGTCAGGGTTTAAACTAGAAAGGTATATGGCATGGTAAGAGTTAGCTTCTGAAGAACTATATAGGGCAGTTGAAACAATAATATATTGCTTTTTCGAAACACCAAAGTCATTAGAAAAGAAAACTAGAAAAAATGTGTAGAAGTTTGGAAGGAGGGTAAACCCTTTCAAGATTGATATGGTTGGGCGGCCATGGCCGTGGACATGAATGGTTTTACCCAGTGGGCCCTGCGCCACTGTCCCCTCTGGCCCGGGCCATCCTGCTCTCTGCATGGCCATGGCCTTCACCTTCACAGCCTTCTGCTACATGCTGGCGCTGCTACTCACCGCCACGCCATCTTCTTCACCATCTGGCACATTATAGCATTTGATGAGCTGAAGACTGATTACAAGAATCCTATAGACCAGTGTAATACCCTGAATCCTCTTGTACCTCATCCTTGCTTTCTTCTGTGCCATGTTTCTTTGTGCGGCAGAGTGGGTCACTCTGGATCTCAACGTATCCCTCTTGGCCTATCATATTTGGAGGCATGTGAGTAGACCAGTGATGAGCGGACCAGGACTCTATGACCCCAAAACCATCATGAATGCAGATATTCTAGTGTATTGTCAGAAAGAAGGATGGTGCAAATTAGCTTTTTATCTTCTAGCATTTTTTTCCTACCTATATGGCATGATCTATGTTTTGGTAAGCTCCTAGGACAACACACAGAAGAATGGGTCCAGTTAAGTGTATACAAAAAACCACCAAATGAAGAGATTCTATCCAGTGAGATCCTGTTTCCAAGAGTAACCTATATGGAATTTGATCAGTTACTTTAAAAAATGATTCCTTATTTTTTAAATGTTTCCACATTTTTTGCTATGGAAAGACTGTTTTCATATGTTATACTTGGATGAAGAACTTAAATGGAATTATGTGTAAATTAATATAAAATGATTACCTCTGGTGTTGACAGGTTGAACTTTTACTCCTTAAGGAACAGGCATAATCCTCTGATGCTGTATTAATTCCTGACTGTCCTAGTCCATTGGAACCTTTTGTTTATAGGAACCTGTAGAGTTCATTTTGGTTTTATGAAACGGAATTTAGCTATAGATTAGCTGTAGATGTCAAGTACTTCTGATGAACTGAAAATGTATTTCTGACTTGTGGGAAACTTCATGGGTTTCCTCATCTATAATGTAGGTGATTATATATGGATACATTTACAAAAGTAAGAAGAGTGGGATTTTTTCCCTTTGACTTGAATATTATCGCTGTATATTGCATGAATGAGAGATTTCTCATATTTCCATCAGAGTAAAAAATATACTTTAAATCTTAGGCATAAAAGAACATGATATATAAATATATGCTGAATTACTTATGGAGAATGCATTTAAAAGCCATCTACGAGAAACCCACAGCCAGCATACTCCTAAATGGACAAAAATTGGAACCAATTCCTCTGAAAACTGGAACTAGACAAGGATGCCCACTCTCTCCCCTCCTGTTCAACATAGTATTGGAAGTCCTGGCTAAAGCAATCAGAGAAGAGGAGGCAATCAGAGGTATTCAAATAGGAAAAGAGGAAGTCAAGTTATCTCTCTATGCAGATGACATGATGGTGTACCTTGAAAACCCAAGAGAATCTGTCAAAGGTCTCCTTACATTGATAAAAGCCTTTGGCAAAGTCTCAGGATACAAAATAAATGTACAAAAGACAATCACATTTCTCTACACCAATAATAAACAAACAGAAACCCAAATAAAAAACACAGTTCCATTCACAATAGTCACAAAAAAAATGAAATACCTTGGCATCTTCCTGACCAGAGACGTGAAAGACCTTTACAATGAAAATTACAAAACACTGCTCAAAGAAATCAAAGCCGACATGAACAAGTGGAAAAATATCCCATGCTCATGGATCGGAAGAATCAACATTGTGAAGATGTCCATCTTACCTAAGGCAATCTACAAATTCAATGCAATACCCATTAAATTACCAACAACATTCTTTTCAGACCTAGAAAAAACAACACAGGAATTCATATGGAAACACAAACATCCAAGAATAGCCAGAACAATCCTCAGCAAAAAAAACAAAGCAGGTGGTATCGCAATACCAGATTTCAAACTTTACTATAAAGCTACAATCATCAAAACAGCTTGGTATTGGTACAGGAACAGGCATATAGATCAATGGAAAAGAATTGAGATTCCAGAAGCAAAACCTCAATTTCTCGACCAACTCATCTTCGACAAAGCCCCCACCA